GAGCACCCAGCATAATTCTTCAAATTGATTGAACTAATGGCATTGGATTTACAATCTAACCCTCTTTGCTCTTTTTTGTGTTACTTATGAAAAACTTGAGTTTAGGTGAAGGTGTCAAGGCCAATAAATAGAAGCTCCTAACAACAGCAGCATGAGCAAGACCAGCACGAACAACATGAACATGAAAAGCAAGACCACTTGCTTCTTGGCGTTGTCTTGCCTGAGCTTTTAGAAGTCGAGTCTGACAAACTGTACACATATTTTTCAAGGAAAATATATTAAGTAAAAAATACTAGCAAAGTTATAAGCATTAAAAAAAACACAGCTACTTGTCAAAGCAACATGACTGTAGAAAGAGAGAGAGAGAGAGAGAGAGAGAGATACTTGGCTGGAGAATCACAAGAGGATGTTTTTCGTTTCCGGCAATAGCAACATGCCCACGTACAGTTTAAGCATCGGCACTTAAAGCAAGACCATGATGAACAATTACAACCCGACCACGAAGAGCATTTGCAGCAAGAGCACGATGAGCACTTAAAGCAAGACCATGATGAACACTTAAAGCACGACCAAGACGAACATTTGCAGCAAGACCATGGTGAACACTTAAAGCACGACCAAGACAAACAGTTGCAACATGATGAGCAATTGAAGCACGAGCACGATGAGCACTTAAAGCACGAGCACGATGAGCAATTACAACACGACGACCATGAAGAGCATTTACAACAGCAGCTAGAGAAACTCGGGCACTTATAACGGCAGCTCGGCCACTTAAAGCAGCTAAAGCACCATTTCAATGAGGAACTCAACCATTTGCAGCCACAGCATGCCAGGTGGCAACCACGGCACCGGCACATCCCGCACGTTGAAGATTTATTTTTTCTGTAGACACAGGCAAAATAAAAAAAAAGAATATAAATGATTTATAGTTCCACAAGATTATAAATACATCAAATGGAACCAAGCAAAACTCCTAAGTGAAAAACTAGGATACATTCACTGAAATTGGTTGCCAAATATTTCATCGCTGTATAATGTGAAGTCGATGGATAGAACGACACTCACTTTTTTGGCTTGACGAAATTTTTAACTCGAACTTGACTTTTCTCAGGGATTTGGGGCGGACCACACGAACCTCCTCTGGGTTGCTCTCTTTTCACCCTGTCGACTTCAACTCTCACTAAACCCGTGGGCTCATTCTTTTTAGGTTCCTCCACATCAATAGTCTTCTCTATTTCTACATAAGGTTCTATACCTTTAGAAACCGTAGAATTCAAACCAAACCCAATATTCTTTGGGGATTTCAATAATTCCCCCTGTTCAGTCGATTCAGGGCCCACCCTGCAGACATTATCCCTCGAGAAACTACTTTCTCCTATACGAATGCTGAACAACGAGTCGTTCGAGGCAGCACTCCACTCAGTGGGAGTCGAGGACTTACTAAAAACGGAAGGCGGGATTCTCTCCGGATCGAAATCGACAGCCCTCTGCATGACCTGAAAAATCGGAGGGGATTGGACAGGCGAAACCGAAACCGAAACCTTTGACGAGATCAAAGACTCGTACGTTGTGTCTGAGAATTGGGAGGCAGAGCCCTGTGAGCCCTCGTTCGAGAGGTCGATTTCGTCATTTTCGTAAAATGGCTTAGTCGTGGGCCCAGCTGGGCGGGGAGGCTTGTCATGGGCCCCGCCTAGCTTAGGGAGTAGCTGAGGGTTGACTTGGAAGAAGTCGTCTGAGGAGGATAAGGATGATGGTGACGTGGCGTCTGAAGAATCTTGATTTGTGGGCCCGAGTACGAATTTCACGTGTTTTGGTTTGGACTGAGTACTGTGTGCGCCTCCATTGTCCATAATTGAAAATTTGCGGGTGCAAGCATCTCTGGAACATATATATAGCATTTAGAGAGGTTTCGAGAGGAAAATTGTCTCAGTAAAATAAATTCAAGTGAAATGAATAGAGAATGTTTGGATTACTTGTGTTGATTAATTACAGCCAATCGACAAGAAAAGGCGATGTGTATACAAAAGGTTGCATCTTGTAGCTTGGGAGATGTGTTGAATTAAATTTCAATTCAGTTCAGCTCGTTGTAATAAAGTAAATATTGTACTGATGCAAGAATTTGTTGTTCTCATTACATATGGGAGGAAATATGAATCACTGAACTACAATCTGACATGTTTGTTTGCTCAATAAAACTGTTGATCAACATAAGTCAGCTCCATTTAAAATAAGTTATTATTGTAGAAAAATTCGCCACTTTCTTCTCGGGATGACATCTGCATAGAAAAGTTTCCTGCTGCAATTCATGACATGTTTTTGCATATGTTTCTTAATTTGTAGCACAAAATCATAATCAAATACGCCTTTTGCTAATTGCAGGGGTAAACAGAAAGGCCAGCAGACAATCACTGCTTAAAATTGCAATAAATAGGCATACGAAAGCATGACATTAAATCAGTAGAAAATAAGCTCACCTCAATCAATTTTCCGCATAATATTATCAAATCGCCTAATGAAACAAGCCGCCCAATAAATTGTCTTGCCTGGGCGGCACCCGCAAACACCGGCTTACAGACTCAAAATAGCGATATAAAAAGAAAAATCAAATGATCCTGGAAAAGAAGAAAAACAGAAAACCATGAAAAAAAATAAAGAGAGAGGCGATTTGATGGATAAATAGCTCGCAAAAATACATTTTTAAAGAAAAATTTCAGGTAAAAAATGGAAAAATTCAATGAGTCCAAATAGGAAACAGAATCTATCAATCTAAGCAAGGTTTACCAGAAAGTTGAGAACGTATTATTTCACGAGCTGCTAAAAATCTCGTGATTACCTTTCCATTTTTGTGTTTTTCTCGATTTTTTATCCTATCTGGGGATAATATCCTCTGCCTTTTTCCTACGTTTATTGCCGGTAAAAGAAGAAAAAAAAAATGGGAATGGCGACCGGAAACCCAACTGAGTAGAAAAATAAATTGAATTAGGGTTTTTGGAGAGAAGGAATTTGGGGTAAATTCATCGATGGAGTGGATTAAAATGGAAGGGGGGACGAGGCTTTCGGTGGAGAAAACCTGTGGACTGTTTTTTTGGCGCCACAATTTTCCAACTGCTACAGCTGGGTTTTATATTTTGATTTTTGAACTTGTCTAGGGGTACATTAGCAAATTATGAAAGTCTTTTAAGTTTATCCTTTTTATTTTTATTTTTATTTATTTTTTATTATTATTATTTTTGTTTTTATTTTTATGAATCGACTTGTGAAGTTGTGCTCTTGCCATCACTGACAACACGATAATCGATATAGCTAAATCGCATAATGAAATCTGAAAGCGTGCTTCTTTCTCTTCTCTGTCTCTCTCCACTCAAAACACATGCCAAAACGGAGTGGAACTCTGGAAGATGAGAATGATTTGCTGAAAATAAGGAAAAACCATCTGAAACACATCCACGAACTCTTCAAGACAGACAAAAACGAGGTATGATCCTTTATTTATGCGTGCCTGGTAAGTTTTGAGAGTTCGCATGAATAAAAGATTGGAACAATGGAGGTTGTTTTTGTGTTTCTCGTTCGATTAGGTTTTGCCGTTTTTCGGTGGTCTTGCTGCAACTGTGCATAATTTGATTATCAACCTCATATTATTATTTTTTTTCAATCTTCATTGTGTTTTTGCTATCAGGAAAAGGGTTTATTTTCCAGATTCCGTTTCCCCTAATTTGTAAATTGGTAATTGTTTTCCTTTAAAAAATAATAAATAAAAGTCAGTATCACATAATACTGTGGAGCCTGGAACTGTTCTTTGTAGTTTAGAGTTTAGTCTCTGTTATTGACTGCTTATCAAAGGAATCTACGAAAGTAGAAATCTTTTACTGGTATAAACTTTTCGTGCATATGTTAGTTGTTTAACTCCGGTGTTGACCATAGGATATTATTTTTACATGTTTCGGTACTGCAAAATGAGAACACATCAGCTGCACAGTTTGTGGAATCTTTATTTTGAGTTATATTTGAATACTGTTCTTTTGGCTATTGCATTTGAGAAAGGGTTAACGCAAAACACTAACCGTGAGGTTTTAGCTAGATATATTTAATTTTCCGGCTACCTGTTGATATTTCAAATACACCCAAGTGTTACCAAAATAGCTTTAAAGTGTTTCAAACACCTTTTGATGTTTCTATCCAAGTGACAGTGCCTTTCTCTCAACAATTAATTTGTTAAATGGGAAACAAATGTGATGGTTAACTGCAATCTGATACACAGCACTGATTATTTTGTTCCATTTTATTAAATTGATTAAAGCTGAAACGAAGCTTTTGTAATTAACCTGTTTCTGTAACTGGTCTTTTAAGAGAAGAATAAATCTTTCAAAAGATCTCTCCATTTATGTTCATAACTATGTTCTTTCCCAGGTTCCATGCCAATTGTAGAAACAACTTAGCTTCAAAGGCTCCAAAAAAACAAGATTTTGCATAGTAAAACCTGGATTCTAGGACCAACATCTCAAACTCAAACAGATGAAGAGAGCTATCTGCTTGAAAAATCCGGATATAGAACTCGATGGCTCAACGGGAATCCCCATCTTTCAGTCCCGAATCCATCGCCTCCCTTAATTACACGAGATATTACGCAAATGGGCCCACAGGCCAAACCATGTTTCCCGGACTGAAAAAGAGGGGTCATAATCTCGGAAGCCGATCATGGATTCTGATCGACCCTAATGGGAATTCGAAAATTGTGGAGCTGGATAAATTTACAGTGATGAGACGTTGCTCTTTGCCTTCAAGAGACCTAAGGCTTCTGGACCCTTTGTTTATAAATCCCTCGACAATATTAGGCCGTGAGAAGGCAATTGTTGTGAGTCTCGAGCAGATTAGGTGTATAATCACGGCCGACGAGGTTATGTTGAAGAATTCACTGGACGGGTCCGTGCAACAGTACAAATCCGAACTATGCAAGCGTCTTGAAACGTGTAAAGATCAGTATGGTATGTTATATTTAAAGTGGCATTTATGTTTCGTTCGTCATATTTTTATTTGATTCTACGGAGCAATTTTGGTATAAGATTTATGTGATGACCTAACAGGATCGAATGTATAGGAAAAAATAAAAAAGGTAAAATGTTGGTTTAAACCGAAGGCTTCTCTCAGTAAGTGATAGAGTGAAGGGCAATAACAACAATAGATAATGAAAGAACTACCCCGAAGGGTCCTCAGGCTATCTTGCCTGCCACAAACGTCAATATTCCAGAATAACTAATCTAACTGTTAGCCACCAATATATATACTAAACCCTAATAATTTAATAATTAAACCCTAAATCCCATTTAAGAGCCTGCTAACTTAACTAATTATATTAACTAAATAATAAGGATAACTGGGCCTACGCCCTAGGGCCCAGTAGGAGCAGCTCGTTTCAGTCTTCTAGAATAAACTTTCAGAAACTGGTCTTTATCAGTAAGAGTATCTTTTTCCTTGCATTTATCCATTATAAAGGTCCAAATTAGAGTATTGGTGAGTTTAGACCGAAGGCTGCACTCAGTAAGAGTTACTTTTTTCCTTGCATATCCCTTAAAAATGTTCAAATTGGAGTATTGGTGAGTTTAGATAATCCTAGGTGCTACCCTTGATCTTTGTGTACTGCTTACATGCTAATTTGAAACAATTACTGTGGTTATAGATCAAGATTTTTCATTATTATTTTCTAAGGTCGAAAATATAAATAAAAATTCTAAGTTACACTGTGTCTGGATGATGAGTATTTCTGTGGCCTTGTCTTGTCATGCTAAGTTACGGTATCATGCAAATAACGAGTCAAGCTACTTTGCAATTTTTGAATCTTATGCTAGATACTTTCTTTCTTTTGTTTCTGCACGTAATCATTGCCTTATTTTTTGGAGTAATTACATGTTGCACTCACAGTTTGTCATTTGTGATTCAGATGATCTACCTTTCGAGTTCAGGGCATTGGAGCTTGCATTGGAGCTTACATGTATGTCTCTTGATGCTCAGGTATGCCCTTTTGTCTTTTGATGTATTAATGAGGTCTCTGTCTTTCACTCTTAATTGCTGTATCCTGCTGCCATCTTGTCTCAAAAGTCCTGCCATAACTGCCAGTTTTCCTTTAATGTGGTTGATCATAAGATCAGTACATTCAAGAGCCTTATTATCGGATCTTGCTTAATTTCATGAATTATGCTGAACTTCATGTAATTGTTTAGGTGAAAGAATTAGAATTAGAGATACATCCTGTGCTCGATGAGTTGGCATCATCAATAAGCACTCTCAATTTAGAGCGTGTACGTAGATTCAAAGGCCACCTCCTCACGTTGACTCAGCGTGTACAAAAGGTAAAAATTATGAACTTTTGCTTGTCCACAAGATGAACACATGCATATATTACTGGGAAATGTATAATATCACCCCTGAAGTTTAGACCCTGCTGAGAATTAGTCTAAACACTAAAAAACAAAGTGGTTTTGGGAAATTACTAAAAAGCTCCTTGAGGTTCGATTTCTTCTTATGTTTTCCCCTTCATAAGCAAAAAAGCATTTTGAGACTCTCTTGACATTATAGAATACTATACTTATATTTAAATCCAACTCAATTGTCTAAGGCTTGTTAGGTACTTCTAACAAATTAGAATATCCTGTGCTCTATGCATTGGCATCGTCAATAATATTACTCTCTTCCAGAATTGCACTCCCAGTGGGGAGAAACTTATTTGGTAAAATAGAAGTCTTCGCAGGTGTTTGTAAATTTTTAAGGGAGTTCTTCGTAATTCTAAAGACAACTGGATTTCTTTTATTTTTACCTTTTTTTTTTTTTTTTTTTTTTTTTTTTTTTTTTTTTNNTTAATTACACCTAAACCTCTGAAGGGTGAAGTTTGTAGTCATTCCTTGAAGGTAATTTTTAATAGTCACTCAGTTTGTTCTTTATATATTTTCAGGTTTGCGACGAAATCGAGCATCTGATGGACGACGATGGTGACATGGCTGAGATGTACTTAACCGAGAAAAAGGAAAAACGGGACAACCTCACGAATAGTGATTCATTTGATCATGTCAATGCTTCAGAGGATATTAAGGCTCATGTGTCAAAATCTGCACCCGTTTCGCCTGTGGGGTCGAGCAGTGGCATTCACAAGCTGCAGAGGGCCTTCAGCAGTATGAGTTCCAGTAAACATGGCAGCTTCTTGAGTTCGTCTAGCGGCCAAGAAAACATCGATCAACTCGAGATGCTACTCGAGGCCTACTTTGTCGTCATTGATAACACGCTCAACAAGTTGCTATCGGTAAGAATAAAAAAAAAACACACATTTTACAGTATGCATGAATTTAATCACTGAAATGCCATTGAAGTTTTAGTCAGAGAAACACAAAGTACATTGTTGATATATGTTATTTTTACAAAATGCAAGACGATGTTGTTTGCCAAGCAAATACAGAGCTCAAGGATGCATTTGTAATTTTTCGAGTGAATTTCTTTGTAAATAGGCTAAACCTTAATGGCAGTTTCTGTAACTACTATTATATTGTTGGCAAAGCATGCTAAATGGTCTGTTTCTAAATAAACCCGAGGTCATAAGAATGTGCAAGATCTTGTTCTTGACATTTTGAAGCATAGGTACACTGGAGAAGAAATAAAATGAAAGAAATAGAATATTAAGAGGATATGTCCTGTCAAAATCAAATCACATCAAATGTTTATGTTTTCATATTTCAAATTTTTCCTGCCATGCAGCTGAAAGAGTATATCGAGGATACCGAGGATTTAATCAACATTAAACTGGTAATAACTACTACTGCTAATATTTAAATCTTCTTACATGGCAAATGTATCGTCTTTGTAGTGTAATTTTTCTTTCCGATTCTTGTAATAGGGAAATGTTCAGAACCAGCTGATTCAGTTCGAGTTACTTCTTACTGCTGCTACATTTGTGACTACTGTGTTTGCTGTTGTGACTGCCGTTTTCGGCATGAACTTTGAGGACACTATATTCGACAAGCCGTCTACATTTAATTGGGTACTTATCATTACTGGTGTTTTTTGTGGGATCTTGTACTCGGTCTTTTTGATCTATTTCAAGCACAAAAAGGTTATTCCTTTGTAAGGTGTATAGTTTTGTGTATTTCTATTTCTTGGATTAGTTTATTTGATGTTGGTGCGTTGATATGATTGATGAAATCAGTTGCATAAATAAATATATTGGCTCGATTGGATTGCAATTTACATTGTCCACCTTTCCCCATTGTCGTGCTCTTTATCCCTCTCTGTAAATGCAAGCAAATCCCCATTAAACTCCTCATAAGAATTCACATAATTTACAGACAAATACTTTCCAGACAACTCATTTTCTCCTTCGTCATGCTCGTCCCATGCACACGATGAGGATTCTGTTTCACTGTGGTAATGAAATTTGTTCTCACGAGACTCAATGCTATCTGAAAGTCTTTGAGTGTCGGCAAGAGCTGTCTCTAGCTCGTTTATACGCTTTTTTTAGCTTTGACTCGGTCAACTCATGCAGCCGGAGCCTTAGCTCCCATGGACAAACTGCATAATTGGCAGCAGTATCTGGTTTGAAATCCAGGTTAACCTGCATGAAACAATGAATATTGGGAAAAGCATATAATTTTTGACAAATCACAAAGTGTGAATGTCACTTTAGGGGAGTTGATGCTAAGACACATAAAATGAAAAAGGGCTATTTAGAGGAAAACTCTTAGAAAATTGCTTTTCGGTTAGTGTTTGCAAAAAACCATCCCTTAAATCTTCCTATCACTCGGCCTAGTACCTGAGAGATTAAAAATTTCCTTGAATTCCAAAAAACCAAAAACATGAAAGTTTGATATTTGAAAACTGAAAAAAGCTACTTTTATCCTGAAGCTGTTTNTTTTTTTTTTTTTTTTTTTTATCTCAATTACAGGAATTCTCTCCAGTGAGGAAGCCCTCATGTTGTTTTCTAACATCTCCAATTCAGCTTCAAGTTCAGAATCGATTTTGCTCATCAACTCAAGATTCTCAGTGTATCTATCGTTTGCTTTTAGACCCTCATTTTTCTCCGGTTTATTAACTTCTCTCCCATAAGGAGATGCAATTGGCTCCTTAGTTGACAGGGGCGTATCGTCTTTTACTGCAGATAAATAATAGCACTCGTTTGTTATGTCCTTGACCAGCAGAGTGTTTTTCATGCCGAGAACTAAATTCTGCATTTGCTTTAGCTGCTTATTCAGTTTATCGACTTCCGTTTTCCAAGCTGTAGTAGCTGATAGTATACCGATAATCATTCCACTAATGAACAGAAGCATTGTTCCAGGTCCTGATAACAAGAAAAGAAAATTGAGTAAAAAAAAAAATCATACTGAAAATTTGCATCAAACTCAGATTTCAACTACTCTTAAGCTTTTCCATACAACAAACAATGTTAGCTTTTGATACTCAACTACTATCCGTTTTCTGCTACACTTAAAACGTTCGAAACAACGAAATGAAAACTTAAAGAGGCGAGCTAATAACGAAACAAATATTCCCACAAAACCTCAGATGAACCAAACAAAAAAATAATAAATACATGTATATAAAACCAGAGAAAAGTAAATGCCACTCAAATGATAATAAACAAGATGTGCAGAACAGTGACACAACAAACATAACAGACATCACAAGTTAAATTAAAAGCCAAAAACTTATATAAAGAAAGCCGAAACTTAAGTGGGAACCTTTTTTCGATTCATCTTTTCCTATTGGCCCGTCTACCACTTGGGTTAAATCAGTAACCAACAAAGGTTTATCAGTAGATACCGAAGAATATAAATCTTCGTTTTCGTCTAAGCACCTTCCTAAAGAGGTAACTGGCCCAGGCGAAAGAAGCAAACGGCATTTCTTACTTACAGAGAGCTTTTTCCTATTGACCCTCTTAAAGTCTCCTCTTTTATCACCCCCATAAAAATTCAAAATTTCTTTATTTCTGCTTACTAATCGAGAAACTTCTAGAAAATACTTGCTGGAATCATCTTGAGCTATTTTTCTCTCTAATCTGCGTAGAGGGCAGGTTTTTTCCTCTCAACTGCTGCAGAAAGTTTGTTGATCCTGATTGAGTGGTGGTGTGTGAATACATGTAAGAAGGTCCAGCTGGATATTCCTTTTTGTCTGATGATAGATTTTGAATGTTTTTAGCCATGTATCCAGCTCCAGCAGCTGCTGCCACAACCCATAAATCCATTTCTTCAAAAGCAAAATATTACAATATTAGAGAAAAAAATTGTCAACCAAACCAAATAATATATATTCAATCTCTCTTCAGTTTCCGTGATAAACGACATCAACTTGGTATGGTAGAATGAATTAAGAACATCTATNAAGGGGACAGCCAAAAAAAGAAAAAAAAAAAGAGAGAGAGAGAGAGAAGAAAGAAAGAAAGAAAGAAAGAAAGAAAAAGACTTCAACTTTATCAATAAAACCAGTGGGTAGAATTTGTTGATTCAACTAATTTTTTTCAGCTGAAGAATGTTTGTAAGCTGAGGTATGAGCTGAAAAAAAAGCCAATGATTTTTTTTTGAGATGTCACAAAAAGTAGTGAGTTGTGAATTTGAGATGTCCATTTAGTTATAAATCTTATATTTCTTTCTCACTTTGAATGAGACAAGAGAAACTATAGTTAACTCCTAACATACTAAAGGTGATCAATACCATTAATCTATAAATTTCCCCAATACACAATTTTGTCTTACATACTTATTTGTATTTTCCTTAATCTTTTAACAAAATAGATATTGTTATGAAACTTGTTTACCAATTCTGGAGTGGAAATGAGGAGGTTCACTGTCTAGAGTAAAACTTAAAAGTAATAAACATGAAGATTAATACATTAAGCATGTCCGTGACCAGGAATCAACACCAAACAAATAGTATTCTTAGTTGCAACTATAAAAAGAATGATAGCTTTTAAATTAGACGATCTACTTTCCATATGAAAAACTCATATAGAAAATGTCAAAGTCTACTGTTATACTTGCTGTAATATGATCGTACAGCAATTTTTCTAATAGCATCCATTATTAGAACTTTGAAAAAAATCATTGCTATGCAAATGTAAATTACAAAAGTCCTTATGCATAGGATCATACCATAACTCGACAATCAAAGATTTTTTTTTTTTTTTTTAAATACGAGAGCCAGTCAAGTAGCAAGGGTCGTGCTCGGGCAGCTATCCACAGCACAGGCTAAAATATCCCTGTAATCCCTTGTAATCCTGAAAGAATCATAAACCTTTCCATCTTGGCTCTTTTTGTACTCGAACAAAAGATTCGAATGATCAAATGCAGTTAGTTTCACAAAACCATAATCGGAATCTCTGAAAATACTCCAGTTGGGCTTTAGAGTCGAGAATTTTGAGAGGCTAGCACCTCCTCCTCCAGCAACTACGTGTATTGTCCCGTTTAAGCTGCCTTTGTAATAGTTCTTCTCTTCCCTTGTACATTTATTCTGCGGCAAGAATTCAATATTTTTATTTTTTATTTTTGGATAAAATGATTCTTTAATCAAATTCAAAACAAGAAAATGTTACATAATTCATATGAAGCTGCTCATGAAATAGTTATTTGGTTGGCAGAAGTCACATTATCTGCTGTTTACGTGGAACAAACAAGAATGATTAGAGGATAAATTATTTATTTCTTTTTAGAATTTTTTCTTCTGTACAGCAAGAACTTGGTCAATTCGCAGATATGCAAGAACTACCTCTAGCTGTTTTTAACGAGTCATATTTTCTTTTAAAACCGAAAAACAACATGGTTAATATAGCTGGACATGTAGAATATCCATGAAGGAAATTGAGAGTAAGCTAATTTGCAACCAACTAAAAAGGTTGTGGCTTTATTTGCAACCGTAAAAATGTTTAGTTTTATTTGCAATTTCATAAAAGGTGGTGATTTTATACGCAATTTAGCCCTTTTCTAACAAATACAATTTAGCCCTCACGTAAGTTAATATTTCTTCAAAATCGTTCCTATTGAAGGAAAAATAATATACAGCACTCCAAGTATACATTTTTTCTTTTCCTTTTTCAGAGATTCTTCAACAAATCCACAAAGCTGACGAACGACATGGAAAAATAAGAGACATATCTAATTTATATTGAAAACATAATATAAGCTTACCTGATATACAGGACAAGTCCTCTCATAGCTGTGAACGTGCCCAAAAAATGCAATATCCACTTTATACCTCTGCCAGAGCTTCTGAAGGTTATCCCTTCCCATTGGTTCTGCAAACGATCCTTCGTTTGCGTAAGTTTCGTCAGACGAGTAACCTAGTACTCGATGTGCCATGAAAATAAGCCAGGGCTGTTTTTGTCTGTCAACAGACGCCAAACAGTGCTCGATGAACTTATACTGTTTGGATCCTTCTCGCCAGTCATGCTCTGTGTCAGCTATGCAAAATCGGAACATTCCGTAGTCAGTGGAGTACCTGTCTCATGGTTTGATGGACACAAATAAGCACCCTTTATTATTGTTATTAAATATGGAGTTTTTATTACATGTAAATTGTAATGTGAATAGCTATACTTTTCAGAATTTTTCCTTGCTACAAAAATTCGTATCCTATTTCACTGGATTTATTAAAGGAGGCCTTTCCTGAAATATTAAGCCAGGATATTTTTATAGAGAAAAAGAAAGTAGAACCTTTTGCCATTCTGAAAGGTAAAAAAAAAGGCAAAATAATAATGATGAAAGCGCAATTACAAAACAAATTTTGATTTTTGGCTTGATTACATAAAATCCCAATTATATTCGTGCATTACCGATATCCCCAATAAATTTGGTTTTGTCTTATAAAAGTGTACTCATATTTTGGGGCATTCGTGTTAAAGAAACGTTGGTTTTTTGACGAAAATAAATGGTTTTATTTGTAAAGAGACTAAACCAAGGTGAACTTTCATAAATTCACTTATAATAACAATGCTGTATTACTGTTCATACTGTAACTGTAAGAATAAATTTGAAGATCCTGAAAGATGATAAAGAAGAATGTGTAGACTGAAAAAGGACTCTTTTCATGGGGCTGTTAAATGCACATCATAATTACTTTCAGNGAAAAATCTTAACTGAACTCCTTGTAAGAAAAATTAAAGTGAACCTGGCAATCATGTATGGCACTTTTGAAGCAATTGGCTCGACTTGAGAAGTGAATTGATCCCATTGTGAAAGATACCCATTAGCATAACAGATATCTCCAATATGAAAGACTATATCATAATTATTCAAGTCACGGATGAGTTGCTTGGTAGTGTTAAGGGACCCTCGTTCAAAATTATTATACTCGTTTGAACCGTCAGCTTCATCCTGCAACAGAGTGGACACAGAAATATTTCGTTCTTAATTACACAATGTCTATGATTGAGATTTGAGGTCTCTAAACAAGCTCTCAAATAATGTAAAAGAACAACACAACATTCTTTTGAAGCATGTTGAAATTTCACAAAAGAATAATTATAAATAAACAGATGAAGTAACAATAACAACAAACTAAGCATTTCATCACAATATGACGGTAAATTATTAATAATATCACGTCATCGTTTTGATGAACTATGAATTTTTGTCAAAACTATTCAAACCTTTCCCATGTCACCAAAAACAATAACCCTTTGAACAGAGTTCTGACCAGGGTATGGAGATGCTTTGAACTCATAAATAGCACTCCAGGCATATGAGCCGTTCAGCAGTTTATGTCCCAATTTGTAAGTGTAGCTGAAGGATCATAATAACGATTTTCAGAATTTGAGAGACAGAAGTAACATAATTACATATGTGCTTTGATTTGCATAAGTATGAAATACATAACATAACGGTGGGGGAAGAGACATTTTTAAGGTCCACATATGTCATTAACATAAAAAATACTAATTTTAACTCAAACTTCAATGGAAAATACAGGAAATAGTAATAGAGATTTCGTGTTCCCACTTAAAAATAAAGTAAAATACCACTACATATAATATAACATACACTGAGTTGGGCCATAACTCCTTGAGAAAACTAGTATGAATCAATCCAGGATCACGCCATCCAACAGTTCTTGCAGGTGCACCTGCAAAATCATGTACTTGCTTTGAAATTTTCTAGTAGAACTTCTTTAATGTAGAGCCACTAGCTCCTATGATGTCATCAATTTCAGTATCATCATTCATTTATCGAGTTAATTATATAAGTTACAAACGGTTTGGCATAATTACATAAAACCCAGTCATCTTTCAAAATTACATAGACCCATTTACAATATCTGAATGTCTACGTTCTATGAATTCCAGATGAGGGTATTTGCAAGGTAAACTAAAATCACAAGGGTGGTTTGTAAAGCTTTAAGAACAGTTTTGCAATTTGAAAGGCTACTGAAGCTTTTCATAAATAGGCTTAACCTCAGAGATATTTCCTCATTTGTGTAAGCCGTAAGGTTCTCTCTGCATCTTTCTACCGTTTCCCAAACTTTACAATAACAATCAACGATAAAGACTTCATTTTGTTACTCAAAAAGTCAACGAAGACAGGATAAAGTCAACACACCGCACATGCTGTTACGATCAAAAGTCAGAGTGACTGCCAAAGAACGCTTTTGTTCCCCTCCTTTTGGACCCCACTCAACAAAGGGCTCAGCTTCATCAATATTATAGCCACTAGTCCAGGTCACAGTCATCTGGGCATCAAATTTGAAAAGAAGTTTGAAAAAATTAGCCACATCTACTCAACTTGTTCACACAATTTTTTTAACATTGAAAAGGATGTCAAAGAAAATCCCCATAAGAACATGAAAAGCATATGGAGATTTAAACTCACTTCATTCCACGTCTTTCCTTGGGCTAATCGCGGGTATAGAGGTGCATTTGGATTTGCAAAGGCAACTACATTTGAAACTGCCACCAGCTTCGGCTATAACAGTGTGAAAAAAAAAAGCACATTAAGTAGCATCGGCAAAATTATTGTCCAAAAGTAATACAATTTCAAAAAGTAATCATACTATTATCATAGGGAATAAGAAACAAAAATCTTTGAAAGACAAGGTTAAAGTGCCATTGAGTTAAGCAGTAGTCGACAAAAAGAAAACCATTCTATTTGGTGCAATTACCCATATTAATGACCAACTGCCTCAAATCAATCTTTCTAGAATTAAAATTCTAACAAGTCAAGAAATACTCATAACTTAATCATTGGAAAATAAATAAACAAATAAATAAAACAATCTAAAAGAACAATATAGATTCTAGTGCAGAAAACCTACATTTGACACGCCACCAGAAAATAAAGCAAACGAGAAGTCCGCCCGCTGGTTAATCAACTGTAGCTTCAAAGACCCTTTCCCCGTTTTTTCATACTTGGGATTGCTGAAATTTGCAAACTGATACTGCAGATCAAAAGAAACATACAAATGTGACCTCCTTTTTAATTTGGCAATACCATGTCGAATTTATAATTATAATTAAAATCACTGCAAAACAGAAACAAATAGAACCTTTATAGGTGCTGTACATAAATATGGTGGCCCAACTCTTGGATTTTCTGCGACGCAGGTCGCTGAACTGAAAAAGATAAGAAATAATTCCTTAAAATAAGATATAACTCATTGAGATTTAACTTTTTAAAATAAATCAAATGGCGTAGATAATTTCTTCACCTGAAGTTAGCAGGAGAAAATACCCCGATCCAGTCGTCACTCGATGGATTTGGGCTACTATAATCTACTTCAATTGATACTTTGTTTTCCCCCTGTGAAGAAAACTCAATTGTATACAATATGACCAGCTAACAAATTCACCAAAAAAAAAAAAGAGAAATAATTGAATGAAACATCTTTTTTGCTATAAATAGGAAAACACCACATTCATGTAAATTCAAGACTTACGTTGACTCCAAGAACTGATGGAGAAGCTTTAATATATGCCTTACTATCTAAATCAATAACGGCATTCTGAATAGCAATTGTCGAAAGAGGTTGAATCCCGTGTGATATCACCTCTTCAAGGCTCACAGTAGCCCACAAAACCACCAAAAGTTTCAAGAAATCTTTCATTGCACTATACCTAAAATCAAACATCAATGTCAAAGGAAAGAATTTGAACATATTAGCGAATGTTTCATCTGTATGTTCTAAATCAGGCAATGAATCATACATTAATAAAGGAAGTACAAGAAAACATCTGCAAGTGGGCATAAAAAAATGATACTAAACTGATCAAATAGGATTCATAGTCCACAGACAGACTTGTAAATTAATCCTCAGAAAGTTCATTCTTAAGAAACACTCCATTTACGAATCATTGAGCAAACACCCAAAATCGATAAATTATTTCAAGACGCCACAACTATGAGAAAAGTAGATATTAAAAATCTGCAAGTGGAAACAAGAATTCCAAAGTGACCACCACCAAAATATCATTATTAGGTCCATATCGAGCTCCAAAAGCTGTCTTCATCATCTTTTTAATAGAGAACACAAGCGCAGAACATATATT